TTAACAAAAAAACGAAGTCCAGATGACATGATTCAACCTTTTTTGTTATGTATGTATATGTATGTATATGTATATATATATGTATGTATATATATGTATGTATGTATATGTATGGGCAGCACGGTGGCGCAACTGGTAGAGCTGCTGCCTCTCAGCGAGCAGGTCCTTGGTTCAAACCCCGGACCAGGGGCCTCTCTGGGTGAAGTTTGCATGTTCTCTCCGTGCATGCGTGGGTTTTCTCCGGGTACTCCGGTTTCCTCCCACAGACCAAAAACATGCATGTTAGGCTGATTGGTAACTCTAAATTGTCCCTAGGTGTGAATGAGAGAGTGAATGGTTGTTTGTCTCGTTTGTCTCTATGTGGCCCTGTGATGTACTTGCGACCCATCCAGGGTGTACCCCGCCCCTCGCACAGTGATTGCTGGACATGGGCACCAGCAACCCCCGTGACCCAAAATGGAATAAGCGGGTAAAGATAATGGATGGATGGATGGATGGATGGATGTATATGTATGTATATAAAATGGATACTGTAAATGAGGACACATATTGTGTTGTAAAGTGCTTTGAGTATCTTGATCATATAGAAAGGTGCTATACAAGTACAGGCCATTTACTGCTTTTTATTTGTATTGAGATGATGGAGACTGTGTACTTTTGTGTAGGAAAAAAAACAACTTAATTTCATGATTTTTTTTTTCAAGTCAACAGAATGTGGGGCATCATGCCAATCAACAGCTGATCACATGTGCGAGAGGAAAATCAAGAATTTTTCCAGGTCAGAGCAAACATCACAAAAATCAGTTCTGTGCAGCTATGGAAGATGACCCATAGTCCTGGAGTTCTGAAAATACAAGGACGTCCTTCATCCTAAAGTACAAAAATACAAAAACAGTCTCCACAAAAATCAGAGAAGTACATTTCTTAAGAATAAATGTAGGTAAACAAATTTCAGCTGTATTTGGTTTTGTGATTTTAATCCACTAGAGTTTTTTTTTCATAACATACTTAAAAATACACACACACACAAACACACACACAGAATCAACACACTGCTCAAAGCAATAAATAAAAAACACAACAGCAGCCAAAAGGCACATAACAGAAATAAAATACTAAAAGACATAAAACAAAAGAGAACAACTAAGTTTAACACAACTGCCCTGACCTGACTGGCAAGGTAAAGATTATGCTGACACTTACTTGTTGTAACATGTTTCAGTAAAATTAGACCAGTTAAGCTGGGTATGGGACAGATGCCTTACCATAGCTTTGCACCACAGGCATCGCCAGTCTTGAAGCCTTAGGACGCTGCCACATGTCTTATCACACACAGCACATTTGGCACTGACGGGCAGGTTGCCTTCCAGCCACTGATGAGGCATGGCAACCTGAAGGTTAAAACACACACGTGCACAGTCTGAAGAGTGGGCATGAGACCTGTCCTGGACATGAAAAGCTAACTAACATAAAACAGTTAACTTTTTTTTTTTTTTTTTACAGTCACAGAGCATAAGCAGAACTTATTTACATTTATAAACGATTATTTATTTTTAGTGCCCTTATTGTCCATTTGTAGTGGTGGTGTCTTCTTTGTTTATATAATCAATCCATTCTTTTAATATTTCATTAAACTGTCCTTCTTGTAGTCTCAGATTTTGTTAGTACTATTTCATATAAGCTTCACCCTTTAAGGCTATCACTAGTGGGTTTATCCCCGTGCGCGCAATGCACCACAGCACTGTTAGTCCACCATGAATATAACACATTAAAGGAGGACACGAGACACAAATATGAGGGTTCATATTATTAAAGCTGTTGCTTCCTGTAAAAAAAATATATATATATTAGGAACCCCCAATTCCCATGCCCACCAAAAACAAAAGACACAAAACCCCAAGTACAAACTTAAAGGAGGACCTGGTGAGCTGGCCAAACCAAACAAAAAGGTAGAGCAGCGGGGCCAACCCTATACAGGGCTGTCGAAGCCGCTGCTGACACCTGACTAAATCTACAAAAAAAAAAAAACCTAAAAAAACCCACCTATTACAAAAGAAGGTGCGAAAACAGGACTACCGGTCCCACCAGGCCAAAATTACAACAACAACAACAAAAAACATACAAAAAGTTAACAAAAATTGCCTGAGGTGGCGGGCAGCACGGTGGCGCAACTGGCAGAGCTGCTGCCTCTCAGCGAGCAGGTCCTTGGTTGAAACCCCGGTCCAGGGTCCTTTCTGGGTGGAGTTTGCATGTTCTCTCTGTGCATGCGTGGATTTTCTCCGGGTGCTCCGATTTCCTCCCACAGACCAAAAACATGCGTTAGGCTGATTGGTAACTCTAAATTGTCCCTAGGTGTGAGTGAGAGAGTGAACGGTTGTTTGTCTCTATGTGGCCCTGTGATGGACTTGCGACCCGTCCAGGGTGTACCCCGCCCCTCGCACAGTGATTGCTGGACATGGGCACCGGCGACCCCCGTGACCCAAAATGGAATAAGCGGGTAAAGATAATGGATGGATGCCTGAGGTGGCTGGGGCCACCGACAGCAGGCCACAGCTCCAGGACCACACAAAAAAATAAAAGAAAAACCAGGGCGGCCAAGAAAAAGGTCCAAAAAGGTGGGAGTCTGAGAGGAGCAAAAAAGGAGGGCAAAATCTCCCTGAAAACAGCCTATTTATGCGGGCGGAAAAAGCCACAGCCCAAAACAATTAAAGGCTGATTAGCTAACCCAAAACCTGTCCAAAGGGACAAAAATAATAAGGCCAATGTGCTTGTCACATAACAAGCACCGAAAACTTTAGTCCACGCCCACCTGCTGTGTGGGCCACACCCCCAGTCAGTATAAATTGTCCTGAAAGCAAGGTTCGGTCCCCCTTTTTCTTCAGCCAGCAAGCAGCATAAAGAAAACTAAAGAGCAGAAGATGATGACCAGTGGAGTAAGTCGCCCAACCTGCAGGACAGGATACATCCTCTGCTCCGACCTGCACGCGTTCTGCGAGGGCTGCCTCGGAGCAGAACACGCCGGTCAAGCCCTGACACTGCAGACTTCCTGCCCATCTTGCAAGCTTCTCTCGCTCAAAGAGAAACGACTCCGGGCTGCCATTTTCTTGTCAGGCGAAGAACCGTTCCAGCTTCCAGACAGCTACCGGCTGGACAAGGTCCTCGATATTCTAATGGTGCAAATGAGCTAATGGTTCAATAAACAATACAAAAAGGCTCAGTGAGAGGCAACAACCTGTCATGCTCTCTCCAGATTAAGACTTCTCAACAGATTACCATTTATTTTAATCCTTGTTGTTGATTATTGATATAGTGATTTAATGCAGTTTACAAATTTCTTATTAAATCTGACTTTTTTTCTTCAAAACTTTGTACAGAAATGTCCAGTTTACACTGTCAAAAGTCTTCTCTGCATCTATGCTCACCAGGATTGCACTCTCTCTTTTCCTCTGCACTCGGTCTATGATATGTAAAGTTCTTCTTACATTGACTTGCATTTGTATTTCTTTAATAAAACCAGTTTGATCCTCATCAGTCAGATCCTGTGTTAAATTCTACATCCTCTTAGCGATGATGGAGGTTTAAGGTTTATAATCTACATTTAGGAATGTAATTGGTCTGCAGTTGTGACAGTATTCTTGGTCTTTCCTTTCCTTCGGAATAACAGAAATTACAGCTTCTTTCCAGGAGGGAGGGATATTTCCTGTCCTGAAACTATAATTAAATGAGTCATATAATAGCTGTATTAACCATTCTTTAAAAGTTCTATAAAACAAAGCCACCCCCCAGTCCATTCTCCTGGTGATATCTCAGATTTAGCCCTGCTAATTGCCCTCTTATCTCTTTTACTGTTATTTGTGTTGTCAGCATGACATTTTGTCTTGTGCCCATTGCTGGCAAGTCTAATTTATCCAAAATCTTTCTTACTTCCTCTTCCCCTGCAGAGGAGGCTGTGTGTATAAATTATTACAATACTCTTCAAATATACTTTGTATTTCTTCTGGTTTGTATAGGATTTTATTAGTTACTGGGTCTCATTTTATGCATATTATTTAGTGTTTGTTGCTTCTTTATGTGTTTAGTCAGAGTTTTAGTAGCTTTAGGTCCTCATAATATCTCTGATTTGTAAATCTAGCTTTCCTTTCCACCTCCTCCAACAAGACTGTCTAATTTCTTCCTGGTTTCTATAACCTGGTTAAATGTTTCTAGATCCTTTGTTTGTTTATGTTTTTGCTCCAAGTCTTTTAGCTTTCTTACTTGTGTCTAACCTAGGTTTTTTGTGAACACTGCATACGTACTCATATATCCTCTTATTGCTACTTATAGAGCATCCTATGAAATTGTCAGGTCTACTTCTCTATTATAATTTTCCTCCCTGTATCTAATTATTTCCCCTTTTAATTCATCGACTATGGCAGAGATTTACTTTTAGTTCATGGCAGAGACTGTCATGAAATATTGTGAAGGGTCTAAAATACAATTTTACAAGCTATGCTCACAAAAATATGTGATTTTCAAAATTTTGCTGCACAAAACACTCACACAAACATTCCGCATCCAGTAAGACAGTTTAGAAAATAAGCATAATTTCTTATAATACCAAGTCAAATTTGAGACACCAACTGGTTTCCAACAGTTGTGGCCTAGTAAGATCCTATCTTTAGGTTCAATAAAGAAAATTATGGCAGAGCTGTAACAGAAGCCTTGAAACAACCAATGACATATTTTGGATTTTTATTTCAAATGCAGCTGAACTTTATTTTTCTTCTTGGGAAACTGCATAAATTGTTATAAAAGCCCCAAATCCAAACTTGTGTTTTTATAAAAGTAAGAATCATCATGACAGATAAATCATAAAATTACTCATTAGTAACCAAGGGAACTCTAATGCATACATATCTTGATGCATGCTCAATAATCCAGGTAGAAAAATCCAAAAAAGTTCAATCTGGTCCTCTGGACATTCAAAAATGTCTTGTTTTGAAATGTTTTGAATGTCCAGAGGACCAGATTGAACTTTTTTGGATCTAATGCATACACTTTTCTTCAATACAGTTGAGATTTTAACTAACTCACCCCATCCTCGTCTTCAATGATGTCCTTCCCTATGGAAGCCAGGGTGGTCCACTTACAGTTGTTAGTGGCTCTGACAGCACATCGTTTGTGAGCTTTGAATTTGCACACTAAAAACACAAAAATGAATAAAGCATAATATCAGATGGATACACATAATAATACAGTACCTGCTTCTAAAAGGCATATTATGTGATGATGGTTTCTGCCTTTGTCTTTTGGTCTCTCTGTGTGTCTGTTCATTTATCTGTGTTCCCAAAATATCTCATGAACCACTGAACAAATCTGAATGAAACTTAGACCATCACCCCACCCACCAAAAACAGGGAATAGTGGAGTAGTAGAATTGTGGAAGTTTGAGATGTCAAGGAAACTTGCAACCTTCAGTACCCAACTCCACTTGGGATGTAAACAACAAAGAAAAATAGGATATGACTCAACTCGAACATCAAAGTACACAGAGCAGAACAGATACTTCTGAAAGCTCAAAACAAGCTGCTTTGTTAAAGACTAAGAGATCTATTTCACAATCAAAGTTCGTTTTCTTGCTGTCGACAAAGAAGGACACTCTTTCCCTCTCCTGCTTTTGTCCTATGAATCTCAGAGCCTCTCTTTACACATCTTTCGAATCGAACATTTATTACAGATCTGGTCAGCTGGTCTCTCAACCCAATTGATAAAATTTTCTCGACTAGAAGACAGGGTTTAGGAGAACCATCATGCCCTGAAGGGACACGCACAGCTGGATATGAATGGAAGATGATGTGCCTGTCTGTGCTGTCCATGGAGGATGTTGAAGACACATACAAAATTGGATTTATGATAACAGGGTTTCTGCTTTTTGGTGGATACCTGGGATATTGACTAATTAGGAAGACATCGGCAGCAGTTTCGGTAATAGTAAAGCCACCTGCCTTATATGAAGGATTCCTCCACATTTCGAGCTCTCAAACTAAAATGCTTTGCGAACTGAACCGTAAGCTGGACGCGATTTCTGAGAATAATGGGACACTTGTGGCTCCTAGGACTTGCATGAAGGAATTGACCTTGGACAAGGCTAACGAGCACAGACCACTGTCTGCAATGTCCACAAATCTGGCTTTTTGGATTTGCCATTGAGTGTACCAGCAGAACTGAAGGCAGACATGAAATCACTAGTCGGCCTGCCCTAAACAGTTGTTGTTTACCTGACTCGGAACAAAATTTTGCTGTATTTAACTGTACAATGACAATAAAGTTGATTCTGATCTTTTCACACAGAGAGCTGAATTTTCAACAAAAATATTCAGGCAAGAATGAAAATAATGTCCCCAGCACAAATATCTAAGACTAGTGGGTTAAAAATCTTAAGACAGGAAACTGACACAGCCAGAGACAGATGTAATGGAGAAAGGACTGAACGTTGCCCTCCACAAGAAATACCAGATGTGGCACTGATTACTGCCACTGAATCTGTCATTAGGAATAAAAACTTAGCAGAAGCAGAGGTGGAACAATTTATAATGAAGATAAGAACAATGCTGTCCAGTGTCATGCCTTCTTCAAATCTTACAACACAGAAAAGAAAAGCTATGCCAACTTTCAGCCAGGACCAAAACATCATTATTTTGTCAACAGACAAAAGAACATGCACAGTGATTCTAGACACTTCTGAATACAAGGGGAAATGGCTGCACATGAACCTGTATAGAGGGACCCAACTAGCACCTGCAAAAATAAGGTAACAAACTAACTGCAAAAACTTGAAAAGGTCAATGAAATCAACGGATTGTTCTACTACAAATTATATCCAGGGAAAGCCACTCCATATTACTTTGTATATCTACACAAAGGAAGGAACTCCCCTCAGAGCAATTGTCAGCAGCATAAACTCACTGACTTGCTTGGAATGTTTAATGGAACTGGAAAGAGATGGAAGCCTCGCATTGAGGTTTACCAGAGACCAACCCACACAGATCAGTACTTTCGTTTTGACTCTCCACAACCCTTGGAACATAAACTTTCTGTCATTAAAACTCTACACCATTCAACCAAATATGTGCCCAAGAGGACAGAAGGGGAGCAAAAGAAAAACACAGGCCCATCAAAAAAGCTCTATAAATGTGGATAATCTAACTGGGCTTTTATAAATCCAGTGAGAAAATCCCAAAACACACAGACCAAAACAAGAAGAACAGAAGCTAAAACATCGTCATCTCATATGTTACTGAAATATCTACGAAACAGAAGGATTTTCTCCAAAGACATTACCCTATTTCCAAGTTAGCAGGACTCTCAGACAGCAGCTGGTTCACCCTAAGAACAAAACACCCAAACACCACCTGAACGGTGCAGTACGTGCAGTTTAATACAGCCAGGAACATTCAGACCAAAGTAATGGAGAAAACTAACATTTCTTCAGACACGGCTCAACACAGGACAGCCAGCTCTTTAGGACAAGACTCAGCTTTTCACCAATTAGACACTCTTTTGAGAACCAAAATGTTCTTCCATCCATCCATTATCTTTTACCCGCTTCTTCCATTTTGGGTCACGGGGGTCGCCAGTGCCCATGTCCAGCAATCACTGTGCGAGGGGCGGGGTACACCCTGGACAGGTTGCAAGTCCATCACAGGGACACATAGAGACAAACGAGACAAACAACCATTCACTCTCTCACTCACACCTAGGGACAATTTAGAGTTACTAATCAGCCTAACATGCATGTTTTTGGTCTGTGGGAGGAAACCGGAGTACCCGGAGAAAATCCACGCATGCACGGAGAGAACATGCAAACTCCACACAGAAAGGCCCTCGGACCAGGATTTGAACCAGGGGCCTGCTCGCTGAGAGGCAGCAGCTCTACCAGTTGTGCCACCGTGCTGCCCCCAAAATGTTCATGTTGTGGACAAAATAAATCCATTTTAGGGAGGTTGGAGTATGGGGGGGAGCCTTATGTTGAATGAGAAATAAATTAATTTTAAACAGGGGAGGATGTCTTAGACTTCAGCTAATTATTTCATGCTGTTGTGTATCTGTGTGTGTGCTACACACATTATCTCATGCTGCTGTATTCATTCGTACCCATCTGCTCACCACAGACATGTTTGTGCTGCTGTTGTTTCACCGTATTGTTCTACATTATTACTGTTTAGTGTATGTCTTAGATTTTTTAGTGTACCGTTAGCATTTGTTTAGCATATATCTTAGTTTATATCTTAGATCCTTATATAATGTTTATTTTTATACTTTATATTTTTGCTATTTTTGGGTGTAACTGGGATCTTGAGTACATAATTTTGTTCCACCTCATGTGATGTGAATGACAATAAATTTGACTTCAACTTGAACTTGAGCATCCTACGACTCTGTTGGGAGTGAAGTGAGTTTAATCTTCATGTGAGTTTAGTTTGCACAATGGAGCAGCTCATGTCGTTTTTTTAGACTGTAACTCCACACTTTCCATTTTTGCACTGAGAGAGACAGGAAGCAAATTCTCTTTAACTACAGACTAAAAGTCCAGACGCTATATTTTAATGAGTTATTTATTTAATACAAACTAAAGTAATATGTGACCTCGTTTGATAACCTGGGATCTTGTGCTCATAATGTGTGTGAATAACTCTCAGCTCCTACCACATCGAATTTTAGCGCAATATAAGTAAAAATAACTATGTTATTGCAATTTTTGTTAGCTAATGTAAATTGACTTCATATGTTAATCAGTTCTAGATAGACATTAAATTATTATATTTTAAAAGTTTCATTAAAATATGTCTATTAAATCATGAAACATTTTACCAACAGACAAATAGGGATGATTCAAGAAGTTAATTCTAATGTTTTAGGCAAACATTTCACACCATACGTAGGAGTTGGGAATATATGTTGTGAATGATTCTCAGCTACTACTACAGCAAACTTCAGATTAATATCTGCAAAATGTGCTGAGTTATAGTCTGTTTTGTGTTCTGTAGTTAGTCATCTTAAGGGAAGGGAAGTCTGAGATTGTCATCATTGTTTATTTCCATACAATGGCAAAATTAGTTCTCTGCATTTAACTCATCACACCTGATACACCCAGGTGGGGCAGTGGGCAGCTATGTAAGTGCCTGGGAAGCAATTGGGGATAAGTGTCTTGCTCAGAGACACCACGATGTGGGAAGGGCTCGGAATTGAACCGTGACTTTCTGGTCCCAGTTAGGCTGCCCTACCTCTACACCATCTTGGCCCTTGAATCAGGTGGACTCCAATAAGTTCTAAATAAATAGATACTTTCTGAAAGACTTATCAAAATTCTTTTTAGTTGTTCTTGGGCGGCTGTGGCTGAGTGGTTAGAGCAGTCGTCCTCCAATGCAAGAGTTGGGGGTTCGAATCCACCAGCAGTCACATGTCGAAGTGTCCCTGGGCAAGACACTGAACCCCTCATAGCCTCTGATGTGTGTCCCATCAGTGTATGAATGTGAATTAAAGTACTGATTAGTCTCATTAGAATGATTTGTTCAGTTAGCTTTGTAGAGATGTAGAGTGCTGTATGAATGGGTAAATGAGAACACAGATTGTAGTGTAAAGAGCTTTGAGTGTCTTGATCAGATAGAAAGGCGCTATATAAGTACAGTCCATTTACCATTTACCATTCTTGAGATGCTTTGCTAACAGACAAACATCTCTAGACACACACATATAAAGGCACAAGAAATATTTATTTTCACCTTTTGATATCAAGCAGTTATAGTTAGGAGGTCTCAAAGTGGCTATTAAAACCAACATTCATCGTATGTGTATTTAGGCTCCCTTTTCCAAATGGTGGAGACAAGGCACCAACTTTATTTTTAATTAATATGACTGTTCTGAATAAGAAATAAGAGTAAATTATAACTACAGTTTCATAAAGATGCACAAACAAACAGAGACTGGTCTGTTTTCTTTTTTTACTCCAGTAGACAAAGCACTTAGCAGACTCATGAATAATGTCTACACTCTGGAGAACTTCCAGTTATCCCATTCCTACTCATGCTTGACAAACACACACACACACACACACACACAGATAGATACACAGTGCTGTCATTATGCAGTCTAAAGAGATATTACACGTTAAAGTCATATCCGAAAGCAGCAATCAATGTTT